GGAGGAGGAGGAGGAGGAGGAGGAGGAGATGGAGAGAGTGGCGTGAAGGAGAAGGAAGAGGGGATGGTTTGGGAATGGCCACAGATTAGCAACCGGTCTGTGTATTGCTCCGCAGGGAAAGACACCGATCACTACTTTCCTGTATCTAGACCGGAAATCATTCTAGATGCACTTGAGAGGCTTCTCAAGACAATCAGCAGCAATGTTTAGCTTTTTTTTTTTGGTAATTGTCTTTTGTTCTCTTGTGTTTTTTATTTAATTCCATGATGACGCGCTGTCCTTTCCTTTTTTTTTTTATCTTTTTTTTTATTAATTTGTTGTAATGAATAGCGCTGGGCAAGGTCGGCGGCATTTTGGGATGGATGGTAGAGAGAAGCATTTCCCAAAATTGTAGACCTTTTTTTTTTTTTTTTTTTTTTTGGGTCTTTTTAATCCCAGGAGCAGCAGCTGTAACGGGAAGAAGATGTGTTCGATAACCTTCCTTGATTGGACGAAGACCGATCGCGATCCCTCGGTCTGATTAGCCGTCCTTGATTAGATGAATCCCGCTCCCGCTCCCGATCCCGATTGCTTTTTCGGATTAGCCGTCCTTGATTGGTTGGGATCGGTCCTTCGCGGGACGACACGTGGCAACAATAGACGGGAGGTATCTGGGTGCGGAAGGAGGAGGAAGATTCACTGAACAGACACCGAATCGTCTTTCCACTGCCGCCCGGTCCCGATCACGATTGCTTCTTCGGATTAGCCGTCCTTGATTGGTTGGAATCGGTCTTTCGCGGGACGACACGTGGCAACAATAAACGGGAAGTTTCTGGTGCGGAAGGAGGAGGAAGATTCACTGAACGGACACCGAGTCGTCNATCGGTCTTTCGCGGGACGACACGTGGCAACAATAAACGGGAAGTTTCTGGTGCGGAAGGAGGAGGAAGATTCACTGAACGGACACCGAGTCGTCTTTCTACTGCCGCCCGATCCCGATCCCGATCCCGATTGCTTCTTCGGATTAGCCGTCCTTGATTGGTTGGGATCGGTCTTTCGCGGGACGACACGTGGCAACAATAAACGGGAAGTTTCTGGTGCGGAAGGAGGAGGAAGATTCACTGAACAGACACCGAATCGTCTTTCCACTGCCGAGATTTCACCGAACGTTCATCATTTTCAGACTTCAAGGATGGCGGGTGATTCGCTGTCAAGCTGAAACAACCAAGGAAGCTGGAGCCTGCTACTGCTACCGCGTAGAGGGAGGAGGGGAGAGGAGGAGAGAGGAGGGGGCGAAGGAGGGAGGAGGAGGAGGAGGGAGGAGGAGGGAGGAGGGGGAGCGAAAGGAGACGAAGAGGAAGGCGGCTGTGAGCGAGTCATCATCATCATCATCATCATCATCATCATCATCATCATCATCATTATCTTGTCTTCAATTGCGTCTTCTCATAACTTTTTCTCCGACTCGTTTTCAGATTTAAGGGAGCGGGAGGAGACGAAGAGGAAGGCGGGAGGATTCGAAGAGGAAGGCGGGAGGAGACGAAGAGGAAGGCGGGAGTAGAACTCGATGACATAATGAAAGTAGATGGTGACAACGTTTTCTCCCCGATGTATGTGGTCTTATGTAATCAGTGGCCTGGCAATTGTACCATATCGAACGAGAGAGCTCGGGGGTGATGAGGAGGAGGGAGGGGGGGGGGGGGGGGGATGGAGGAGGAGGAGGAGGAGAAACTCCCTTGCTCTTCTTCTCAGAGCGTGGTTTGCTCGGAGAGAGGATTTGATTTTTGTACAAGGGACCGATCCCAACTTCTGCTCGGTGAAACGGTCCCGATCCCGATCGCGATTGCTTGCTTGTTCGGATTAGCCGTCGTCCTTGATTGGATACGGACCGGTCTATCGCGGATTGACACGTGGCAATCAAGTCTACTACATGGGATGGAGGAGACATACGGAAGTTCTGCTGCCGATCCCGATCACGATTGCTCGGTGAAGATTCACTGAACAGACACCAGATCGTCTTTCCATTGCCTACTAGGTTTCACTCGACGTTCACCATTTTCAATTCTGAAGACGGCGGGTGATTCATTGTCAAGCAGGAATGACAAACGAAGCTGGAGCCTGCTACTACTATCGTAGGGAGCGGGGAGAGGGAGGAGGAAGGAGGAGGAGGAGGGAGGAGACGAAGAGGAAGACTGCTGCCTCATCGTCGTCTTTCCTTATCCCCCCAATTTCACTTTTCCAGAACTTTCTCAGATGTTTCTCAGAACTTTTTCAGAACTTTTTCAGAACTTCTTAGGATTCATGATGGAAGAGAGGGTGACCATGATCCTGGCTGTATGTGCTTTTAGTAGGTAATTAATCGCCCAGCAATTGTACCATATCGAGCCAGAGGTGGGGTATCACAAGGAGGGGGGCTACTGTAGGGCTACTGTAGGTGGAGGAGAAATAGGTCCGGTCTGTGCTCTTTTTCGGTCTTGTTCTCATCTTGGTATGCTCGGGACACAGATTTGTACGTTTATGAATTGGCGACGTAGAAGGGGTGTGTGTATCTGTGTGTGTGTGTGTGTGTGTG